GAGCATTGGGAGTTGGGGGGGTCAGTTCAGGACAGGGCAAGTAAGGTGCTGGGAGGTACTCAGGGCACCAGCAGCTGTTCAACAAGAATGGAAGTATTAAAGAGAGAAAAAAAAGAATGGACGTATTTCAATATTTTGACAACTGACATAACCATCAAGGGTGTACCAGCTGACTGTTAGCCAATGTCTAGGGTGGGAATTGGGCCTTAAAGGATAATGTGATGTCCACAGGGCCCTGTGCTTCAGCAAGGGAAGACATACATTTGAGCTTAAGGAAGAGTTTTCTGTTGTTACCTCTTGTGTGCAAGTGCAAAGACTGTCCGTATACACACACAGCAAAGACAGGAAAATAGTCTACTGGCTAAACAACACTTCCTGGCTGTGTAGCAACATGAGTATAAGGAACTGGCAGAAGAGTTCAAGGCATGTTGGAATAAGGGAAGGAGGGAGGGACATTCACATGTGTGGAGTGACCGCCTGCTGTCTAACAGGCTCTGTCCTGCGCTTTACTTTCTAAGGTCACTGGGGCAGGAGGTCCTCACGTGGAGGCATCTGGTGCAGAGGAGAGGAAGCAGAGGACATCAGGCCCTGAAGAGGGAGGAGAGAAAGGAAGGGAGGCTGGGGTGCAGGCCTCATTTCTGCAGCAGGCCAGTCAACTCGCCCAGGGACAGATTGAGGCCAGAGTCAACCCAACTGCTAACCAGGAGGGGAGATTCCATGTACTCCCAGAACCACAGGCCAGGACCACCCTCATTGTGCTGAGGACTGAAGTAGTCCCAAGTGGAAGCAGAAAAAACTTGACCACAAAACCCCTTTCCAGAAGCCAATGCAAATCAGATGCCCCTCTACTCCAATTTCCTGTCTTCTGCCACCCCCTCAGCATCACACAGCGCTGTGGGGAGGGTGAACTGCAGCTGGTCCCACCGAGAGGATGCGTTTATGGGACCAAGTCTACACCCGCTGTCTTTCTGGATCTGACCTGTTTCCCTCATGATAATGGCCTCCAGTTCCATCCATGTTGTATGGAGATTCTGGCACTTTACACTCCCCACGAGTGAGCATGCCTACCACTCTCACTTGCTGTGTGTCCCAAGCAAGGAATGCTGGGAGCAGGCAGATGTCAGGAAGCCAAGGGTAACAGAAGGGAAGATGATAAGAAGGTAAGGGAAGAAAGGGCTGGTGAATTTCTGAAGAGGGTAAAGAACGCCTGGCCTGCTGGGAATGAACCAGGCCCCATTCACCGACCCCTTGTCCTTTGAGTGTCACCCCTCCACAGCTGGAACTGGCAGTTCACTTCTCCTTATGAGTGGTAACTACTGTACAAATGGACACAGAGTATGGAAAGACGGACAGTGAAGACTCAGGTACCCGAGGAGCCCTGACTTCACTACTAAGCAATTTGTGCATGTGATGAAATAACACTTGTATCCCATACACTTATACCCCCCCCAAATAATAAATGCCCCTGTCCATAGACCCAGTGATTCATTTACTGAGTTGAAATACTCACCCAGGGACATAAAAATACCTACTGCAGCATTAGTTATCAGAGCAAAAGATTAGAAGTAACTGAAACGTCTACCCCTAGGGCACAGGTTACGTTAAAGTACATCCAGGGAATGGGCTTTCATGAAGCTGTTAGAAAGAATCTGGCAGCTCATGGTGTGTGGATACAAAATGACAGGTACTTCCTTCAAGTGCAGAAGACTGGACAGCATATGACAGCACATGCCACCCACTTGTGTTAAACATATGTCACGTGGACAGCCCCGTACTCACATGGAGGCTTGTAGCTCTGAAAAGAACCTGGTAGCCCTGGCTGCCTCCCGGGAAGGGAACTGGGGGACAAGGAAACAGGAGAAAAACCTAATCTTTCTGCCCAACCTTTCATATTTGTTAAATTTTAGACCTGATACATTTATTCATGAAAAAACATAATTTTATAAAGAAAGAAAAGCATTAGCAAATAATAGTATAGATATTCATGAGTTGGCAAAATCTCAAAGGAGGATGTGCAAATGAGCAAAGTTTGGGAAACTCCGCCACTATAGCACATGATTTTTTTGTCCCAAGCCACAAAAGCCACATGAAAATGCTGTGGTTGTGGCCTCTGACCTGTGACACACCAGCATTATCACATTACCTCTTATGCCTGCACTGTTTGCTTCAGTACCTGGGGGTCTGCTGGGTAAAAAATAGCAGGTCATAAAGGACTGCAAGGTAAGATATTCTTATATGTATTTTTTCTGAGACAGTCTTGCTCTGTCACCTAGGCTAGGCATGGGCTCGGTCACCAGGTCACAATGGCAGGACCAGAGCTCACTGTAGCTCTCAACTCCTGGGCTGAAGCTATTCTCCTGCCTCACCTTCCCGAGTAGCTGGGACTACGATGTCTGACAATTAAATTCAAGAACTCGGGCGGCGCCTGTGGCTCAGTGAGTAGGACACCAGCCCCATATATCGAGGGTGGCGGGTTCAAACCCAGCCCCAGCCAAACTGCAACAAAAAATAGCCAGGCATTGTGGCAGGCGCCTGTAGTTCCAGCTACTCGGGAGGCTGAGGCAAGAGAATCACCTAAGCCCAAGAGCTGGAGGTTGCTGTGAGCTGTGATGCCACATCACTCTACTGAGGGCGACAAAGTGAAACTCTGTCTTTAAAAAAATAAATAAATTCAAGAACACATCCTAGAAAAAGTGCTACATACCTCACTGGTAAGTATCACTACAGTCACCTTCAAAGTACACCCCTGGGGAAGCTATTCACTGATGCCAGTGCCTCATCCACCCTTCAAAGTAATTTTGGAACTCTTTTTCTGGAATGGCCATCACAGCTGCCATTGTATTACCCTAGATGTCTTAAATGCCATCAAAATGTCTTTCTTTCAGTATTTTGTTTATCTTTGGGTAGAGAAAAAAATCACTGGGGATCAGAGCAGGTGAGTATCCTTCCTACTCACCTGCTCTGACCCCCAATGACTTTTGTTCCAATATGGTTATTTGTTTACTGGCTAAACACTCCCTCCCAGACAGGGCCCTGTGAGCTGGTGCACTGTCATGATGCAAGAGCCACACCCTTCTCACGCCAAGGTTTTCGGTTAAGATTTTCCTGTTTCTCTGTCAGTGTTTATTTGGTCTGCTATGCTTCTCAGAGTCAGCCAACGATTCTGATGCACAATTCAACGAATCTTTGCAATGTTTTCCGTTCTAAGTGTCACTGGCTGCCCTGACCTCTCTTCATCAGTGACACTTTCTCTCCTCTCAGAAAAGTGTTTCATCTAGTTGTACACTGCCATTTTTCACATGGAATTAACCCCATAAACTTAGACTAAGATATCCCTGATTTCATTTCCACTCTTGCCAAGTTTAACAAGAAATTTAATGTTTGTTCATTGCTGTAATTCAAGAGCTGACATTCTAAATGGCACACGCAAAAACACAACAACAATAATGAATGCCACTCAGTAAGACACTGCCACATGTCCACATGAACACAGCTATGAGACATGGATATACCAAGGTTATGAAACCTTCTGAGTTGTTTGTACAGTGCAAGGTGGTAAGTTCACAAACTTAATTGTCAGGCCTCATACAGACGCTCACTGCTCACATCCAGCTAATTTGTCTATTTTTAGTAGAGATGGGATCTGGCTTGTGCTCTTGCTCAGGCTGATCTTGAACTCCTGAGCTGAAGTGCTAGAATTACAGGTGCCTGGCCCATAGTAAGATATTCTAATGCAAGACTCGACAGACCTGATGTGCCAGACATCAGGCCAAACAAGTTATGTACATTTTTCTATTCATTTTTACAGTAACTATAGAAGGCAAAGTGTCACTCTTATGTACAGATAAAGAAATAAACTCAGAGAGGTTAAATGACTTGCCAGGTCAGAAACTTGTAGAGAGTTGTTTGTACAGTGCATGGTGGCAAGTTCACCCAGGCTCCTAGCTCAGAGCTGAGCCCCTGAAACTGTGCTGATAACCTTGCACGTAGAAGGTGCTGGATAAAGCCTTGTAGCTAAGCCCTGGTCCTTTCCCTCACACTTCTACTAAGGATAGAGGCTGGGCCCAGATGATGAATGCCTCGAGGGCAGCACTAGCTTCCTCTTTATCGCATCTCAACAGCACCAAGAATCAGTGGCCTTGTCTATAGCAGGAAGTCAGGACATGAGTATTGATGGAATTCAATCAACCACACTGCCTTGGAAGCCCTAGACTTCACAGAATGGGAGTGCCTTGCCCTCCTATGGGCAGGTGACTTGGTGGCTCCCAAGCACATCCTCTCACCTAACCTGGCACAGCTCGGGTGGGGCTCAGAAGGTCCCCAGGCCCCATCGAGCACAGGTGGGTGGGAGAGTGACAAGGGCTTCACCCTAGACCCGCCTGGGCTCCTACAGGTTTCATGGTAGATCTTGTACTCAACTCAGCAGGAGCGTCAGGTTAAAAAGTCCCTGCTTCAGGGGTCTAGAAGTAGCAGGTGGCATGCCTGCAGCCTCCCCAGGAGCTTGGATCCCAGGCCAGAAACAGGAAAGAAAGAGCTGAGGTCCCCTAAAATTTCAGTGCTCCATTTTACAGATGAGGTAGCCAAGGCTAGAGAGATGACAAAGAGTTAATGGTGAGTCCGAGGCTGAGTTCCTATCTCCTGATACCCGGTAATGCTCCTTTTATGCCCAGGGGTGACTATGTTCTAGGGAAACTCAAAAACCCTAATGTGGTGTCTTTGGAGATTTCCTAAAAGGAGCAGATGCTGGGTGGAAGGGCTCTGGTTCCTTTTCCCCTCAACAACCAGAGCAGTGCCTCCCTCTGGAGATTTTGGTGGGAAAAATGGTCCCTCTGCTGTAACAAAGAAAAGTTGGAACTCATTGTGCCTCCTTCTCTCCTCCAGTTCCCACTCGACTCTCTGCCACCCAGGCCCTCCCCACCTTCACAGCCCCTATCAGTGTGGGTTTGATCTGGGCCAAGTCCTACCCAGTCAAGGTCTCTGCAGAACCTCTGGAGACTCACCTGGCACATCTGGGGATGGATTGAGAATCATGAAGGCATCTGACAGGCCTGCTTTGACGGGATGCTGGGAAGAGCTGATTTCCAGAACAGACATAGGGATCTGCAGTAGGGAAAAGACCCTTAGAAGACCCTCCAGGTCCATCCCCCGACACAGCATCACCTCCTGGACGACTGAAAGACATCTCAAGCCCAGTGGGACCTCATCCCAATCCCAAGTCTTCCCCACAGCACCTCCTGACACATTTTCTTCTTTTCTCTACCTCAGTGGATGGCTCCTCCCTGTAGGCCAGAAACCTGAAACTCACACTTGGCCCCTCCCCTTCTTTCATTTCTTCCCTTCACTGTCTAATATATCTACAAATCATGTTAATTAACCTGCTAAGTGGCTCTCAAATCTGTCCAGCTCTTTCCATCGCCCCTCCCCCCAACTCCAAGCTGCCATCCCTTGTTTCCTCTGGGTACTCTCTTTGAGCTCCCAAGAATCTGTTCTTCACTCTTAGCCAGGATGAACTTTCTCAAAGGCAGACCTGTTGTGCCCCTGGCTTGTCCTGCCCCTCACTCTCTCCCTTCCAGCCACACTGACTTCTTCAGTGCTTTGTACCAGCTATGCTCTGCACTGCCACAGGCCCTTTGCACATGCTGTCTTTACTCTCAGAACACACATCACTCTCCTCTTTGCTTCCTTAACTGCTATTCATCCTGCAGATTTGAACTCCTTTCCTCAGAGAAGCCTCCCTGGCTTCTACCTAGGTGAGGAACCCTGTGAGTATCTCTGGTAACACCAGGCACCTCTACTTAGGAGCACTTGTCACCATGGCAATTCTGCATGTATCCCTATTTCCTCAACCAGACTCACAGCTCTCCGAGTGTAGGGCCTGCAATCATCTCAGTAATTGCTGTATCTCCAGCACCATCTCAGTATTGCTATATCTCTTGCACCTGTGCCTGGCACACTGCAAGTTCTCTACAAATATCTACTGAATGAAAGAAGGACTCCAAGACCCAGCTGTCTCTGTCACTAGGCCCACTCACCTCTTTGTAGCCGAAGACAATGCGGCCATCATGGTGCAGAGCTGCCTGGAAGGTGAAGCTGCCCCTGTCCTCCCGGCCTTGAAGGTAGACGTGGTCCCATTGAACAACAAACACTGTCCCTGAGGAGAAGAGAGATCTGGCTGGACAAGAGGGTAGTCCAAGGAGCAGGGCCCTGCAAAAATAGTGGCCAGAATGGATTTGGTACAGGTGGGGTCCCTTTGGGATGATGGAAGACAGTTGGCAAATTTGAGGGGACAGGAGCTGGGCATCCCACAAACACCTGCCTGGCTTTCATGCTGGACAGGAGTTGGGAGATCCTACTACAGCCCCTGGACACCAGGCTTGATTGTCTTGTACCCCAAGCACACCCCTTCCTTCTTGCCTGTCCTGACCCCTTAAGATAAAAATGAGAAACAGAGCCAGGAATCATGGTGGGTGCCTGTAGTCCCAGCTACTTGGGAGGCTGAGGCAAGAGGATTGCTCAAGCTTAAGAGTTACATTGCTGCAAGCTACAGTGATGCTATGGCACTCTACTCAGGGTGACAGAGTGAGACTCTATCCAGAAAAGAGAGAGAGAGAGAGAGAAAGATAGGAAAGATGTCTTTTCTTCTGGGGTGGAGTGGTATTCACAGGACAACCTGGTAAGAATGAAGAATAATAAAAATCCCAACATCCATTTTTAACCTTGCCAAGAGTCAAGCACCTTTCATTTTTTTAGCTCATTGAATTTTCCTTGGAAGCAAGCACTTTGCCCCCATCTTACAGATGAGGAAACTGAGCACAGAAAGGTGAGACTGCCTTACTATGGGGGCTGTGGGACTCTTGCCCACTCTGGGCCTTGAGCTCCTCTAAAGAGGCTGGACCGAGGCATCCCTGGACCCAAGTGACCTAAGTTCTGAGTTCTGGTCTCACCATTGTCAAAGTAAGCAACTGTGGAATTATCTGAGTAGCCAGGGTTGAAGTTGGCCATGAGCGGGGCCACATACTGTGTAGCTGTGAGCATCCGATGGATCACATCCCCCATGAAGATGAAGCCTAGGATGGAGAGCAGAATGGAGGAGTCACTGGAGATGGCCCAGAGGGAGCTGCTTCTCGGGATCTTTTCCCCGAGGGTAGTAAGGGGCAGTGCAGACTGAGCTGGAAGTGGGCCTGGGGCCTGCGCCCCAATCCCTGCCTGGTGGGCTCTGGGTCTGATGGGAGCTAAAGGGCCCCAAACCAGAAAAGGTTTGCCCCATCCCTCCAGGGTGGCACAAACTGCAGGGTGAAGGGACAGGAAGAGGAAGCAACACTCAGCTTTCCCCCTCCCTGAGGAAGTGGGACATAGAACTAAAGTGTGCAGGAATTAAAGACAGGCTCCTTGTAGCAACAGAGCCAGGCCCAGGAGCCCAGGCTCTCACCAAGGACTCAGAAACACGGGACACAGGCTGCCACATAGACTCATGCAGGCCCAGAGGAACACACACACACATGCAGGAGCATGCAGGTTCCCCCCTAGTCCTTCTGTACAATCCTGTCTCCAAAGAGCCTCCCTAGGGAGGCCCCTTGAGTTCAGGCTGAGATCTCCAAACCCTCCCCCAGGCCCCAACAAGGCCTTACCTCCAGTTGCTATGGTGATCTGCCGCAGTGGATGTCCATAGAAAGGGAAATCAAAGGACAAGACCACTCTCTGCAGGGGATGCAGCGGATAGGAGAGAGTTAGCATGGGCTGAGCTGCAGGCCAGGGGGGCGGGTACCCTGCTGCTCCCAACTTGTCTGGACCAAGTGGGGACAGCATATCCAGGAGAGGCCTCTAGGACTACAGGTGGGCACCCTTACTCTAGCTGAGCCCCTGGAGAACCCCTGGAAGGCACCTCCCAGATCACAGACCTTGGGCCATAGCCATGACCACTGACCAGGCAGGGTGGGCGCGCCCTTGGTCTCCTAGCCCAGGGGATGCACTGTGGGGACCTGGGGCACTCACCGAAGCCTGCCGGTGGGTGTTGGAGAGTATTCTGTGGACCTTCACATGGCTCCGGTTGGCCTTAGCCACATCCACCCACAGTTCCCGGCTGCGGGGTTCACTGGAGCCATACAGACGAGACACATAATAGCTGTGGTTGTCCTCCTGCGGCACCCAAGACAAAGGGCACAGGAGACATGAGAGTCAGGCATGGTCAGGAGATACTCTCTGCCCCTACCTGCTCAGACATGAAGTCATTGCCCTCCCAGGGGACTGGACCTGTGGCCCAGAGATGAGTTCAAGCTCACAGTCCCCAGGCTTCCTGGCCCCAGACCACTCACTACACGTCCCCTAGCCTTGGCAAGTCTGGCCCCAGCTCAGTCCACACCTGCTGTATCCATGTTCATCCAGCCAGACAAGCCAGGATACTCATCTTACAGTCCCAGAGTCCCTTCAGGGCATGAGCAAAGTGGAGCTAGGTTTGGGGCACAGGGGAAGAACAGCTAAGACAGCCCCAAACAAAGCCCCTGTTTCAGGAAGCTCCTAGACCAAGGGGGAGACAGAGTCCCTGGCCTCGAGGAATATCTTTTTAAGGGAAAAGAAAAACTGGGTCTTAGAAGGTACTGTTCTAAAGGAGAAGGCTGATCCTTGATCCTGTGAGGTATCAGTCTGATGAAGGAGCCTGGACTTTTTTTTTTTTTTTTTTTGAGACAAAGTCTTACTTCATCACCCTTGGTAGAATGCTGTGGCAACATTGCTCACAGCAAACTCAAACTCTTGGACTCAAGCGATCCTCTTGCCTCACCCTCCACACACAGTAGCTGAGACTACAGGCACTCGCCACAACACCCGGCTATATTTTGGAGATGGGGTCTCCCTCTTGCTCAGGCTGGTCTCAAACTCCTGAGCTCAGGTGATCGACCTGCCTCGGCCTCCCAGAGTGCTAGGATTACAGACGGGAGCCACCACGCCAGGCCCCAAGGATGCTGGACTTATGTAAATAGAATATGCAGACACACTCAAGCAGAGATGAGACAGAGTCCATACTAGGGTGACCAGAGGGTTGAGAAAGGGGAGAGAAGTGGCAAAGATGCCTTCAAGGAACATTTTTCAACTTTTATTGTGTGCCCAGTGGGGATAAAATAAAGAACAAGCCAGAACACTGTGGCTTGGGGAATCTGCAAAATCTCTCTTGCAGAGGAACATTTGGGGCCAGGAGGAAAAGGAGCTGGGGTGTATGGTTGGCAGAAAGACTAGAAGAGCCAGGGATGGGCAATATCAGAGCATTTCTTGGAGTCCATCCAAAAGTGCCAGCACAGGAGGAAAGGAGGCTGCCGGGCAGGTTCCCTTGGCAGCCACCAATGCAGAGTTGGAGCTACTGACCCGTGAGGAGCCCTGGGCGTCATGGGTCATTAATCAGGCTGCCCAGCGGCAGTGGCTGCAGACAGCAGAGAAAACGATGTTCTCCCTGCCAAGCTGCCAGCTGCCCAGGCAGCCCTTGCCCTGGGCCCAGCATGAGCAGGGATGAGGAGTTCCTACTTTCCTCACTCTGCTTTCCGAACTAGTGACACAGTCTGGGCATGTGGGGTCTGAGCAATCCGTGAGAAGATGAGTGGAAGAAACGGGCTGGTGGTGGCTGTCCTCAGCATGGCAATCTCACCAATCACCAACACTTGCAAGGCCACATCACTCTGTTCACAGGCTTTCTGGGATGCCCTTGAGATGCTGCCGTTGAGACAAAACCCAAACCTCTTACTTAGCCTGGCATTCGAGGTCCCACCATGAGCCAGCCCCTGATTCTCTGTCCCTGTCTCATTCCCCCATGGACCTGTGTACTCACCCTCTAGACCAGACTCCCCTGACAGTCTCAGGCCACCCGTGGTCATGCGTGACTTTCTTTGTAGGTGCTGGTTCTCCTTTCCAGAATGACTACCCTTCCCTTCTCCCCGCAGCAAATTCCCGTCCCTTCCATGCTCAGCTGCAGCATCACATTCTTATGGAGCTCCTGCCCCACCTTAACGACTGAGGCTCTTCCTAAGGCCCCCACCATCCAATATTTTGAGAAGTCCTCAAGGGGTGACTCCTGTATTATCTGCGGAAATCATGTGGGGCCACCTTTGTGTCACCACTCCAGGACTGAGGGCAAGTGCCAAGAATGCTGCCCCAGTGAAGCAACAGCCACCACCGCTGGGATTCCGGGAGGGTGACAGAATTGGATGTACTGCTCCCCAGCTCTGCCCATGGGCACTGAAGCAGCCAAGCTTATGCTCCAAGTTCACAGTCCCTCTGCTCTGCCCTGCCCAACCTCTGGGAGACTGGAGACCTCACCTTTTCTCCTTGGTCTCCCTCTCTCCTATCTCTACCTTTCTGTGCTGGAATGCAGATTTGATGACTGGAGATCCAACAGCGGTCTTGTGAGTATAAGGCCAAGAGCCACACCCTAAAGATGGTGGTATGGAGAAATGGATGGAGCTTCAGCCCCTCTGACATTGCTGGAGGGATGCTCCCTAAATCTTGGATTCAGCTGTTACATGTAAACGCAAGTCCTTCACAAATGCATAATGGTATCCAGGCCCCCATCCAGCCCTGCCTCCCCGCCACCTGCCTTCATGCACCAGTCCTGTTGTGCTTCTCTCAGTTCATCACCAACTATTTGTCTGCGTCAGGGCCTCGGTGCCTCTTGTCACTCAACACCTCTCCCCCAGTCTGTTCAGAAGCTGACTCTTCCTCATCCATCACGCCTCAGCTCAGAGGTCACCTCCCCCAGAGGTCTCCCTGATGCTGCCACATTCTTGTCACAGCCTGTGATTCTTTCTCTTAATGTTTTGCCCTTGTGACAATGTATGTGGGGTTTTTTTTTGTTTGTTTGTTTGTTTGTTTGCAGTTTTTGGCTGGGACTGGGTTTGAACCCGCCACCTCCAGCATATGGGGCCAGCGCCCTACTCCTTTGAGCCACAGGTGCTGCCCAATGTACATGGTTTTTATACTTGTCATCTCCATGTCTGCCTTTCCTATAAGCCTACAGTGTTTCAGCACGGAGTGTGCGTTCATTTAGAGCATTTGTTGACTAAGTACAATTTGCAACAGCATGCTGCTCATGCTTTCCCTGTTTTATTGGTCCCACCACATATTCTGGAGACCAGATAGGATTGTTTTACCAGACAAAGCAGGATAGCAGTGGATGGGAAACAGGTGCTCTCAGATATGACTGGTAGTCACCTGAATACAGCTCCCCGCCTCCCAGACCCTAAGCTGTCTAGTGTTTAAGATGAGCTTTGAGGCTTAGAGAAAGGTCTTGTTTCAACCAGCCTGCTTCCTAGGAGAACTTTCACCAAACCCCAAGTGTCAGAAATGAAGGCCCAGGACTTTGATTAAACCTGGATAGTGAAGGCAGGAGCTATATCTACATAGAGCACTGGCCAAGGCAGGCCAGTTGGTGATGGGTAAGGCCACATTGCAGCTTGGAGGCAGAGGTGATGTAGAGTGGGTCACTTCTGGGCAGAGCCAAGGACAGAGTCCACAGGAGAGTGTTTGGGAGAGTGGGAGAGAGGAGAAGGAAAGCTGGTGTTCACATAGCTGTGACATCCCTGTGCTGGGCTTTTCATTTTTATCACTACATGGCAACACTGAGAGCTGAGTATTAATATCAATCCTGTACTAATATCAATTCTTTTCTTTTCTTTTTTTGCCTCAGCTTCCCAGGTAGTTGGGACTACAGGCACCCACCACAATGCCTGGCTATTTTTTGTTGCAGTTGTCACTGTTGTTTAGCACGCCCAGGTCGGGCTCAAACCCACCACCCTGGTGTCTGTGGTTGGTGCCCTACCCACTGAGCTACGGGCAGAGCCCTTTTTCTTCCCCCTTTCCCCCCAGTCTTACCCTGTCATCCAGGCTGGAGTGCAATAGCATGATCATAGCTCCCTACAGCCTCAAACTCCTGGGCTCAGGCAATCCAGTTACCTTAGCCTCTTCAATAGCTGGGACTACAGGCACATACTGCCACATCCAACTATTTTTTTTTTTT